TGTTAGCATCTGCTTGGTATGTCTTTATTTATCCTTTTGCTTTCAACCGTCCCAAGCCACTTCATTTTAGCTATATCTTAGTCTGTGAGAGTTTTCTTTTGACAGTTTTATTTACAATTATGATTTTAATATGTTTCATCTTCAGTTTATTATCTTATTTTTGTAACTATTTGTGTTTTCTTTTTAAAATTTATTTATTTATGGCTGTGTTCGGTCTTCGTTTCTGTGCGAGGGCTTTCTCTAGTTGTGGCAAGCAGGGGCCACTTCATCGCGGTGCGCGGGCCTCTCACTATCGCGGCCTCTCTTGTTGCGGAGCACAGGCTCCAGACGTGCAGGCTCAGTAATTATGGCTCATGGGCCCAGTTGCTCCGCGGCATGTGGGATCTTCCCAGACCAGGGCTCGAACCCGTGTCCTGCGTTGGCAGGCAGATTCTCAACCACAGCGCCACCAGGGAAGCCCTATTTGTGTTTTCTTGTGTTTTACTACATAGTCTGGCTCTTAGGGTAATTTGAAAGAATTATAATTTTAATTTTAGTTATTTTGTGGTTCACTTGTAACTTTAAAAGATACTCAACATCTCACATTTTTGATTTAGCAATTTTAAAATAAAGCCAGGGTTATTGGCTCTGCTGTGGAGTGAGATTATTGGCTCAGTTATAGTTTACTTGTCCTCTCCCAGGATTTTGTTAGAAATGTGTCACTGGTAGCTTTCCTTAGGCCATTTGTACCCATCACTCTTATGATATTTACTCCCCGTGGTCATCTTAAACTAGCTGAAGCCCATCAGCCTTAAGTGAAAAGCTTACACTTACACAGTTTGATTATAAGGTACTAGTTTGAATTTAGGTTTAAATCTTATACCTGGGATTTAAGACTATTTGCTTTTAACAGCATATTTTAGATATATTATAGGTTTTTTCCGACCTCTGAAAGTAGAGCGTCCTAGGAAACCTTTCCTGAGCTGAAATGGCACAAAGTAGAGAAGCAGTTACTTTAGGACCCGTCTTGCTCACAGATACACAAAATCGATCGAGATGAAGCACAGGTGCTCACCGATACAGTTCACAGCTGTAGCAGCTTGATGCTGAGATGCTGAGTGTGGTTCCGGGGAGGAGCTTGGCGGGCCGCTCTCACTGCTGGGGTGGGCGCTGCCTCTGTAACGCTTACTGCAAAACACACTGAGCTGAATGAGATTTTCGCTTTTCGCCCTTTTTTGGTAAAAGTGAAAATCCTCTTTGGATTTTGTTTGGTCACCAAAAACAGGTACTGAAGTGGGTCTTTCTAAAAAGTGAAATGGTGTAAAGCAAACTTTAGAAATACCTGTATTAGGTTACTTGTGACTGGGTAACTTAGCTCCCAAATGCCTGGCCATTTTGATCAGCATCAGGACTAAAGCCGTGTGGCCCCCAGTGAGGGCTGAAGCACCTGCTTTGGGTCAGCTGGCACAGAGGACATGCACCCTGTGCTTCTGCTTATGGTCTCTGGTAGCCTTGTTCTTCCCCTGACCAGGAGAGAAAAGCTCAGTCTTTTCAGAGAACCGTGAGAGCCCATCGTCTCCCTTTTTATCAGCTGTACCTCACCTTTAGTGGTGGCGAGCTGGAATGACTTCCTTCTTTTTTTCGTTAGGAATTTCCTTTTGCCTCCACTGAATGTAGGAGAATAGGAGGCATCGTTATGCTTGTTTTCGTTTTACGTATCCCCATGGGTGTGTCTCTCTGATACCGATGTGCTCATGTAGAGAAGGAGCACGCCTGCTCCTACCCCCCGTCTTTGGAACTAGAAAAATGGCCTAACTAGTTCTGTGATTTTTGTGTTGTTGTTCCAGTCTGGTTTAGTTGTACGTTTATTTTCATAGTGGGTAGCTCTTATTTCCAAATTAGTAATACTTACACTTGTTTTTATAATTCTTAGCCTTCTACTCTTAGATGGATTGCTTTCCATTAGTCTTTTCCATCCCATGCCATGCATTTTGGTTCCTTGATTTCCGTTTGTCCATTAACTTTCATGCCTTCTCAACTACCACTTCTGCACAAACTCCCTGGAACTCCTGAAACTACTCTTCTCCACCTTTAATTACTAATTTAAAAAATCCTAAAACATGCTTTAGTCACAACTTTGTATTCTTCCAGCTTCCTTGGTCAAGTACTTTTATTGCAGCTGCTTCTCTACCAGGAACCTCAGTTGATTGGCATGTCCACTCCTATCCATCACTTGGGTTCACTTTTTTCCCAATCCACTTAGGTTTCATGGCCCATTATTTCACTCACTCTTGCTAATACCCTAAACCAGTGGTTCTCAAATGGTGGTCTGGGGATTTCTGGGGGTTGGTGGTTCAAACGCTGGGAGCAGATTAGGTTAACTATAAAGAGCTTGTGGAATGAGAATAGATTTCTAGCTCCGCTCAGAAATCATAGAGAAGAATAATGTTTAAAGGCTGGCAGGAAAAGGGAAGCTAGTGCTGGAGTCTGGGAGAATAATCAGAGAAGGAGGAAGATTGCTGACGTGCAAGTTGCTGCTTAGAGGGCAAGTGAAATCATGAAAGTGTAATTTGGCTGTTGGGACATCACTGACCACTGCCAGAAGCACTTTGAGTGGGTCAGTGGGCGTGAAGTCAGATAAGTGGTTGCAAGAGTGAGTGGGTGAGTGGTGGTGAAAAGTGGAAGTCCGCAAGTATAGGTTGTAAAGGGGAGGAGGGAGAATAGGTTATTTGTTAGAATCATCAAGCCTGTGCTAGTTCTTGGGGACTCAGCCTACATCTGCCTCAGCATCTAAAAATCAAGCTCTTGTGTTGCGTTGTATAGCATCATTAGGCTTCCTGCATTGCTTAGAGTCTTGGCTTGAGCTTGCCTGAAACTTTAAAGGCCGTTTCATTTCCCGTTGCCCCTCACTTCCGTTGTGTTTCTCAAATCCATTTATTCTCCCATTCTCCTGCGTGACTTACATACTTCTCGCCCCACCCTCATGTGTAACTCATTTGATGAACTTCTCTTTCACTGAGAAAATAGAAGCCATCAAAAGATAATGTCTTTGTGCTTCTACCACCATCTACTTACCCACCTGCAGAGGGACTCAAATGTTCTCTCAGTTCCTGCTTTTCCTCCTCCTCCTCCTTTTTACTTTGGATAAATTTTTGTATGTAGCCCCTCAACTTGAGCACATTTCTTCAGCGATTCTCCCTTTCTTTCTTGCATCAGAAGTAAGTACTGGGTTATTTCAACAACTGTATAACTTCTCTCATCTTAAAAAAACCCCTCTCAGCAGTCCCTTTTACATTTCCTTTGCTGCCCTTTATCATAAAACTCCTGGTAAGAACTGTCTACTTTCATTTTGCTCCAAGTTTTCTCCTTGCTTAATCCATTTCAGTCAGGTTTTCCCCTCCACCCTTCCAGAAAAACAGCTCTTGTCAAGGTCACCGATGACCTCCATGTTGCTAAATCCAGTTGCCCGTTCTCAGTGCTCATCTTACTTGGCCTTTCAGCAGCATTTGACGCGGTAGATAATTCCCTTTTCCTAGATAAACTTTCTTCACTTGGCTTTCAGTACGTCGGTCTCTTCTTTGCTGCTGCTTCTCAGTCAGCTTTTGCTGATTCCTTCTCTCGAGTTGGCTTCTAAATATTTGAGAGCCCAGAACTCTGTTCTCAGACTTCTCTTCTCTGGCTGTACTCACCACCTACAGTGGAAATCTCACCTAGTCTTATGGCTTTAAGTCCCATCTATCTGCTGATGACTCTTCTTTTTTTCCCCCTAGCCTGGTTCCTTCCCCTCAGCTGTACACATTTTTATATCCAACTGCCCATTCAACCTCTCCACCTGAGTGAATAATACATGTTTCAAATTCAGCAATGTAAACGCTATTCTTATTTCTACCCCAAAACTACTCCTCTTTTGACCTTCCCTGACTCAGGAAATGGCAGCTCTGTCTTTCCAGTTTCTCAAGCCAAGAACCTTATGTTTATTCCTACAAGTCCTGTCAAGTCTGCTTTCAAAACATACCCAGAACTTGATAACTTCTTAACACCTCCACAGCACAGGTCTAAGTGACCTTTCCTCTATATTATTGCAGCGAGTCCTAACTGGTCTCCCTGCTTCCGTCATTTCCTTTTTCTAATTTATTTTCCACACTGTAACTAGAGTGAGCTTTTTGCAGTATGTCAGATCATATCACTGCTCTGCTCAGTGGATATTTACTGCCTTGTCCATGATCATTCTCAGTCATATGGCTGCCAACCCTTCTTCAGAAATCCATGCATAGGGGTGATCCCGAGGCTTTATCATCACCTGGAATGGTTTCATTTGAGAGTCTTCAAAGTATTTCTACCATGGTCCACAGCTCCATGAGGCCTTTATCTAAAGCACACTTGATCTTTGACTATACTGAGATCTCCCATTCCTTCACCCATCCTTTTTTGCCTCCGTCCCCTAGATCTGATAGAAATTAAAAGGAATTTAATATTAAAAAAGTATCTTGTTCAACTGCTGTTCGTTTTGACATGTGGTTTAATTATTGAATAATCGCCCCCCACCCCCACCTTGATTTGTGAGGCCTCGTGTATGTACAACCACCTGACATGAATTTTTATATGATAGAATCTGTTTCATTGATCTGTCAGGTTTTGGTGTCAGCACACTCTTTAAATGTTATTGAAGCTTTATATTAATAGTACGTTTTAATATTTAGTAAGGTTAGTAGCCTCTCATTGACTTTGTCTTTCCAAATTGTTGGTGATGGTCTGGTTCTTTATAGTTCCACATGATTTTGAAAACAACTTGGTCAAGTTATGAAAAACAAAATGTCCACTGGGCTTTTTTTTCTGGAATGGTTTTAAACTGGGCTGACTAGTTTGTATAAGTTAATATTTCATAACACTTTTTGTTAGCTAACATTTTTACTTTGTAATAGATTAAATTCTTTTTCCCTATGAATGCCAAAGATGTATCTTCTGTTACTTAAAAAGATATGCAAAAATGTAAATGATTTGTTAAATTTGTTTTGTTTCAGATCTGTTTCCTTCTCTTTGCCGTTCTCTACATTGTCTCCTACTTCATCATCACAAGATACAAGAGAAAATCAGGTTAGTAGACACATTGTTATTAAAGCTTTGATTCTAATGCCAAGTGGTCTAGGCATGGTCCGTGGCTATATGGTGCCCATCGGCATAGTTAGTATATTCAGTATGCCTGTGATGGAAGCAAGCAGTTGCCTGGTACTAAGAGCCCTAAAAATAACCTCCAGGGAATCTGGCTACTCGCAGGGTCATCTTCTTAGGCCCGAGCCCTTTTTTATCACCATTCTTATGTTCAACTAAGCATAGTCCAGGGCTCTTTACTTTCTGGGAAATTCCAGAGTTTATGAGGATATTTGGTTCCCTGTGACTGGCTCTGAATTTGAACATACCCCTCATCACCCCCACCCAGTTCTTTCTCTGACTATCAGAATATCTTTTCTTTTTCTGAAGCGGTATAGAATTTAGAGTCTCCGTAATACCATTTAGCATTCAATTATATATTATATTATCCTTTTATTATTTCATATGTATCCTTATCTCACCAGAGGGACCACTGTATCTTTTCTTTTTTTTAATGAATGTTGTGCTGATTAATTCACAGATTTTTATGCCAGAGTTTTATAAGTAACTAACCAGTTACTTTACTGACTTCTGTTAAATCTCAGCTATTTCCTAGAAATCACAAGATTTCCACCTGTGATGCTGGGCTAATAGTAGGTGCCATGTGAATAGTTAAGGATTCCATATATTAAAGCTTCCTTATGTTATTTTAAACTTGTCAGAATTTTGAAAGAAATCAGGAAATAGTGCTTGCTCTAGTGCACTACTTGGCTCTGTGACTGCACTGAAATACTCCTTGGATTCTATAATCCCTCAGAAGTTTGAAGACCTGGGATCCAAGACAGTATCTTAGCTGTTTTAAAAGATGTTTTGGCACCACGTTTCATAGATTATGGACACAGAAGGAGGGAGAGATAGAGAATGAATGAATAATGCATTGTTTTAGGGGAAATCAGGAGATGATGAGCAGGAAAATAGGGTATTTATTAGATGCTTTTTAGAGTAATCATGGGAGAGGGTAATGAGGACCCTGGACCTGGTTGGTAGAGGGTCGGCAATAGAATTGAAATGGATATGAAGCTATTAAAACAATCTTCAAGATATGGTGGTTGATTGGATGTGGGTACAACAGTATAAAAGTTAATTGTGACTATGTTATTTTGTGGTCTCTTTGGTCTTAAAACTATTTTGGGCAGTCAGTAATTAAGAATGGAGATTGGTCTAAGAGAATGGCCCAAATATGCCATTGTCACTGAAACAGGTGGGCGCTCAGAATTCCGCAGACCTACGCAGAGAGCCTTTGAGGACAACCCCAGTTAGGCACTGAGGAGAAGGAGGGGCCGGGGTGTTGTGTAATATTTTTGTAATTGGATCATAGTTTCCTTAGCTGGTAAGATTACGTGGGAGGACAAAAAAGATGGCCAACAGCCATGAGAGAGGGAGAGGGTAGGGTGAGGAAGCACAGGAGCAAGGGCCATCTTGCTCCTACTTAGAAACGACACAGAACTTGATATATTTCTGTCTGTAACTTGAATGAAATGATGAAGTATCAAGACAATGGTATCCAAGGTGGTTTAGGATGATCCAAGAAAGTCCTCATTATTACCATTACTAACAATAGACTCCAATTACAGAAAACTATATGAGTTCTAAAATTCTGAATTTTAATTTTATAGTAAAAATTTTTTTTGGCTATTATCAACCAGAAAATTTCATTCATTAGCAATTTCACTGACATTGTATAACAATAAACTTGATAGTGATTCTGGGGTTCTACTGAGTTTTATTTCCTTGAGCACTAAATATTTTGGAAGATCTTAATTTACATATGGGAGTTTTGTTAATCAGGATTTTTTTTTTTTTTTTTTTTTCCGTATGCGGGCCTCTCACTTTTGTGGCCTCTCCCGTCGCGGAGCACAGGCTCCGGACGCGCAGGCTCAGCGGCCATGGCTCACGGGCCCAGCCGCTCCGCGGCATGTGGGATCCTCCCGGACCGGGGCACGAACCCGCATCTCCTGCATCAGCAGGCGGACCCTCAACCACTGCACCACCAGGGAAGCCCCAGGATTTTTTGATCAATCAAAACACTCTGTTCTTTAACATATTCTATCCTATCTGATTTAATGAGATTTAGATTGTGATCTGTGCTGAAATAAACACAGTGCTTTTTGAAAATAATTTCTATTCAATAATTGCTTCTTCAAGTTTATATTTTTGTTCATGCTTTTATTAAATTAATGAAACATTTTGTTGGAAGATAAAAGAATATTAATACCTTGAACATTTTTGCAGATGAGCAAGAAGATGAAGATGCCATAGTCAACAGGATTTCGTATGTATTTTAATGTTCGATTTCTTGTTTCTCATTCTAAAGTCATACGTGTTCGAAACTTAATTTTGCCTTTTGGGCAGAAATATGGAAAAAATTCACTTAAAGTATTACAGCACCTTTATCAAATGTTAGTCCTATCCTTAGAAAGCACATATAAGCAAATACATGGATAATTGAGGATTGATTATCTCCTGTTAAAATTTGCTTATTTAAGGAGCCAACAGATTTAATCTTCAGAGGATTTAACCAGGAAATGGGCTTAAGATTGGGAAAATTGCTGGGCCAAAGAAAGAAAGAAAGAAAGAAAGCTCTTGGCTGTTTGAATGGCCTTGGGACAGGGAGCAGACATCTCTTCTGGTTAAGTGAACATTTACCTACTGTGAGCAGGGAGATGGGCCCAGACGGTCCTCTTAGGTTCCTTATAGCTCTCTTTCTGCTTGTGTATGCTGATGATAGAGCCCAGCTAAAGGGCAGACATGAATTCTTTCCCAGTCCTCCAGGTGTGAAGTACTTGTGAGATGTGCACCCCTCTCGGTTTAGTCTGCATTCCACTTTTGGTGGTAAATCTACTTAAATGCGTTTGTAGATCAATAATTTGTAAAAAGACAAGAACACATCCCATTGGATTTTACACTTGCATTGTGTTTTATGAAAATATGGCTGTTTCCTTGTGGTGGTGCCGGGGAGCGGCCTCACCTGCTTTACATGGCAGCTGGCATGGCCTGTCTGAGGGGTTTGGGTTTCTCCCAGCAGGTAGTTTTTGCATCACGGTGATGCGCACAGATGTCCCCTTCCTGAAGGCAGATGTGTGTGCCCTTATAAATTCAGGACGGGGAAGTGTGAGGAGAAGGTCACCTGGGAGGGCGGCTCTGACCTAGTCTGTCCCCCTAGCTGCCCCACCCACTGGTCTGTTTGTCTCCCACTGCCTTTCTTCCCTTCTGTGGTGGAGTGAGTGAGAACCGAGGAGTCAGGCAGAGCTGGGTTCACATTCTGAACTCAAGATTAACTTGAGTTCAGAAGAGATTGAGAAAGATTCCTTTCCTCCATATGTGAGCTCGAGCTACCATCTGCTTTGTAGCATGTTGTGTGGATTAAATAACATACACACAAAAAAAGTCGGGGGGTGCTCGGTGCGCAACAGGTGTGAGCTCAGGGTTGTTGTACTTCTCCCCCAACCCTCTTTCCTTGCCCACCCTCCTCCCACTGAAGAGGAAGGAGCAGAATGAGATGCTGTGCTTAAAGGAGGAGAAACAGTGGTCCAGGGTTCTGAAAGAGTTCAGCCAAGTCCCCAAGGGTAGGTGATGGCCAGCACCATCTGGCCACCTGAGGGAGGGAGGGTTCCCCGTGGCCTACTGCAGCCCCGTGTCAGGCTGAGGAGTCTTTCCCTGGCCTCTCTCACTTCCCTTTAAACCCACCTTCGCTTTCTCTTTTGCTCCTTAAAGGCCTTCGTTCTGTCCTCTGTTTGTATCCACTCATGCCCCCAAATTCCCTCTCTCTGTTCTTTTCAACCCTAGATTACATTTTCTCTCAGCTGGTTGTTTGATTTGATTTGGATCAAAGCGCCTAACTGGTGAAACTGCTTTTAAGGATGGCTTGTCCAGGCAGGAGGGAGGCTTGGTGCGGAGGTCAGAGCACGAGGGGGTGACCTGGTGTTGACTCCCAGGATTTGAGAGGAGAGAGGAATCCAGGCACGATGTTGTCCCAAGGGGGTGAAGAGAGGCACCCACTGCTTTGGGGAGTGCTCTGTCACGGGGACTCAGAGCCCATGTAGGGTGGGAAGGGTGTCCCTGTGCATGGCCTGGCCTGGCTGTCAGTGCTCAGGTGGGGAGGGTGTTCACAGGGCAGGGCAGTCCAAAATGGGGCTCACCTGAGCACATGGTGCCTCTAGGGTGAGGGGGTCAGTGTGGCAGGAGGCTGTTAAAGACAGTGGGGACCACTTACAGTTAGTGAGAGCGGGAAAGCAACAGGGAACACTAAGTTGTTGTGGTGCAGTTGGAGGCATCTGTATGGACCCACGTTTTTCAGTATAGTTACTGAACCCAATCTAGATGTGAAGTGTGGGTGCATGTATGTGTTTTTATGTACATGTATACCTAGTGCATACTTACGCCCCCTAGAGCTGCCTGTCCATGCTCACCTGGGAGCATGACACCCCAAGAGCAAGGAGTATATTTAGCACCTAGATTTTTGTTTCCACTAAAAGGAATCTGCTCCTTGGGAAGGCTGATTTCAGGGCTGGGGTAGGGAAAGTTCCAGGCTCCTTTCATCCATCTTGTAGTGCCACAGTGCAGGGAAGTACTCAAGAGTGATGGCAGCACATCAGGAAGACAGGGAATCCTTCAGGGGCTTTCACACTTACTCAGGGACAATCTGAGCGTCACAATCAGGATTGTCATGGATCTAACACAGAACAGAGCAGAGCAATCTTGAGTCCATACAGATAGAAACCAACAGGTGAATAACTTATTTGACAAGGAACAGGATATTTTCCTAGTTCCAAACTTAACTCCCCACAAAGGGAAGAGGAACTTTAGAGTGGAGAGCCTTGACAGACGGCACCTTGGCCAGTGAGCAGAGACTGCGACCAGTAATGGGGCAGACAGACATCCTAGGCCACCTGGTAGCCTGTAGAGAGGAGCGTGAAGCATGGCGTCTGTGACTTTCCTGCCTTGTGGACATGTCAGACTCCACAGAGCCAAAGCTGGCTCCCTCATCTCCCTTGCCAGCCCGCTCAGCTGCAGCCGTCCCTGTCACAGGTGATGTCACAGCTGATGGCTGCTCCACCACTGCCACTCTCACGAGGTGGTCTTGGTCATCCCTGAGACCTCTCTCATCCCGCACTGGGCAGCCCTGTTGGCTCTCTCAGAATCTGCTCCCTTTCAGAAGGGGACATTTCTGAGGTTGCCTTCAATTCCGAGGCGCACTGTTTCATAGTTGTGTAAGCAGTGACGGCTGCCATTTTCTGACTTGACCCACCTTGAGGACCCCTTGCCAGCATTTAACTCTGTCCCATCAGCCTTTTATGGATAGTTCTCCTCACAGCTACTCAAGGGCAACAGGGAGCATGGTATTACCTTTTTTTGTATGTCTAGGGCCAATCACAGTACCTAAAGTGCAGTAGATTCTAGAGGATTTTTTAAAAAAATTAATTTGTTTTTGGCTGTGTTGGGTCTTTGTTGCTGCACGCGGGCTTTCTCTAGTTGCGGAGAGCGGGGGCTACTCTTCATTGCGGTGCATGGGCTTCTCATTGCAGTGGCTTCTCTTGTTACGGAGCATGGGCTCTAGGCGCGTGGGCTTCGGTAGTTGCAGCTCACGGGCTCAGTAGTTGTGGCTCGCAGGCTCTAGAGCACAGGCTCAGTAGCTGTGGCGCACAGGCTTAGTTGATCCGTGGCGTGTGGGATCTTCCTGGACCAGGGCTCGAACCTGTGTCCCCCGCATTGGCAGGCGGATTCTTAACCACTTGCACTACGAGGGAAGTCCCTAGAAGGTTTTTGACGTAAGATCCAGTATTATATTTACAGTGACCATATATATTTAGGATTTTCTGGGTCACTTTTGATTTCAAAACTTCATCTGTTTGCCCTCATAAGCTTACTCCTTGGTCAGATTACATCTCCCAGCTTTAGACCTGGAAGCCATGGTTAGCCTTCACTGCTGCGTGCGAGTCAGTGTCATGAGCACCAAGAGAGGAGGGACTGACTTTACCGAGAGGAGCGAGAAGGGAGCCGCTGAGGAGTGCTTCACGGGGCAGATGACGCAGAGGGGACCCGAGGGAGAGGGCCGACTGTGCCCAGGACACGGAGCCAGAAAACCCATTCATGTTGGGGGTACAAGGAGGTTAGATAAGCCTGCCTGTATGTGGGAATCTGTCGTGGCCAGAGGAGCCTGGAAGGGCAAATTGGGAGAGCTGTGCGGGACCTGGAATGGGGAGATCGTGGATGTGGTCTTAATTTTCATGTTTGAAGAAGGAAGGAATGGTAGCGACAGACTTATGAGGACAGAAACGAAGGTTGCTTGAGGCACTGGTGGGTAAGTGCTGGAGATGGCAGTGGGCCTGGGGCGAGGGTGTGTCTCTGTTTTTCCCAGGAAACGTGTTGTCCCGTTCAGCAAAACCCGTTTGTAAGGCTTTTTCTGTGTCTGAACTGAATTGTATTTTTGGTGTGTATCATATGGTCTACATTAAAAAATTTACTAGTGATTTACTGACCAAGGGAGGTTTCATGGTTATTTTCAGCTTTTAAGTAGGAAAACGCTTCTGTTGGTTGCCACAAGATGGCATTGGCCTCAAAGTTACTCTATTAGATGTGTATTTTGAGCGTTTAGTATCATTTTTCCTTATATCTTCTTACATGTATTTTCACGTTCTTTCTACATTAAATTTAATGGAATGAATATTAAATTAGGGTTTCATCTCTAATGTCAGTGAGGTTTCCTTTTCCTTTGCCATTTTAGTCTTTTAAAATAATCTTTAAAAAATTAGGTATAAAACTTTAGACATTTCAGACGTGTAACTGAGAAAGAGAAAGCACCCTGTAGTCCCACTCTCCTAGGAATTGTTATATATTATGCTAGATTTTTTTTTTTTTTTTGCGGTATGCGGGCCTCTCACTGTTGTGGCCTCTCCCGTTGCGGAGCACAGGCTCTGGACGTGCAGGCCCAGCGGCCATGGCGCACGGGCCCAGCCGCTCCACGGCATGTGGGATCTTCCCAGACCGGCGCACGAACCCGTGTCCCCTGCATCGGCAGGTGGACTCTCAACGACTGCGCCACCAGGGAAGCCCTATGCTAGATTTTTAAATGTACCTCTATTTTCCTGTGTGTAATTATGCACTTTGTGGGGGGGGGGGCGGGGGGAGAGCATGTTTTGTATTTATTGTCCATGCTTTTCTTCGTGTTTTTATTTTTAATTTATTTTAGACATCTTTCCATATTAGTACATATTAGAGATATCTCATTTCAAAAAATGACAAAATTGTGTTTTAAATATTGTTTAATGTATCATTCTAATAGTTGCCTACAGTTTACTATATAGTTTATTTAACCTTTACCCATTTTAAGAGATGGTAGACCAATAGGTTTGTAAGTTTCTTCTTCCTGAAATAACCATTTTCACGTAAGTCTTTTTTCATACTGTGTTCACAAGCATTTTTTCAACTGAGCCGGTTTTTGTGTTGCTGTTAGCATATATTGCCATAGTTGTTAATTAAATGCAATTGTGAAATAAATACTTAAATTTAAAATAGGAATGAGACTACAATTTATTCTTCGTAAAATGTGCAAAGTATTCTGTCTCTAGTTTATGTCTGCGTTAGGCCGACTCTTTAGACTTAATGGTTTTTTCACAGAGTAAGTTTTAGAGTTGGTCTAGTTTAACTTCCAGGACCATACGTATATCACTTGTCTTCCAACTACATATACTCAATGAAATGCATATGTAATTCTTTTTGGATTTAAAAAATTTAAGAGTTTTGATTCTATTCTTTTTGAATTACTCCCATATTCTTTGCGTTTTCCAACCACTGGTGACAATGATGCTCTTCTCTTCCAGGTTGTTTCTGAGCACGTTCACTCTAGCAGTTTCAGCTGGGGCAGTTTTGCTTTTACCCTTCTCAATAATCAGCAATGAAATCCTGCTTTCTTTTCCTCAAAACTACTATATTCAGTGGCTAAATGGCTCCCTGATTCATGGTTAGTATATATTGCTTAATATAATCACAATTAATGTTTTAATTTTCTACTGTACTATATTTAAATTTTTTCCTTTTCTTAGTTTCTTTAATAATTGGCATCTTCCTTCAGTAAACCATTTGAGTCTTTAATAAAATCAGAAAACCAGATTTTACTTACTATTCCTATTCGTAGTTAGTTGTGAAATGCTTTTCTATAAGAAGCAGTTTTTATACTGACTGTGATTTTGATAAATACGGTTTCATTTAAATATTTAGCAAGAGAATTTTGGTTTATCTGGATATGTCAGAAGAACTCAACCTCCATTTAGGATCTAAAAAAAAAAACCCACCATAGTTTCTATTTTATTTATTTGCTGTTAGTCATTTCATTTATTTCTTTAGTCATTTCAAAATGCATGATAGAAGGGGGAAAACTCTTTTGTCATGGACAAACTTTAAAATTAATGTGGTTTAAAAAAGTAATGACTTATTTTGGCAACATGGTATATTGCCTTGAAGCAAAATAGACCTGAATTCCAATCTTGGCTCTGTCATTTTCTGGACATTTTTAGTGAGGTAGGACATTTTAATTTTAATTTATAAAATAAATTTAAAAATCGAGTACACATATCTTTTTTATATGTTTCATTGTCTTTTGCCCACTTTTTTCATATTGAATTATGTTATCTCTTTATATGTGAAATACATCAGCTATTTATCAGATTTTTGTAAATATGTTTTTCTAGTTGTTAGTTTACTTTTTAATTTTGTTGTTTTTTGGTTACAGAATTTTTGCATTTTTATGTTGTCCAGTCTTTTTCTTCCTTTGATTTCTCTCTTTTTGTGTTTAGGAGATCCTTTCCCTTCCTGAGATGTGACAAATACTCCTTTTTTTTTCTTGTTCTTTTAAAAATGGTTTTGTTTACACTTAACTGTTTAATCCGTCTGGAGTTTATACAGATAACTGCCTTTTTTCTTACCCATTTGTGTGTGTTTAAAGAAATACATGTTTGCTGTAGAAAATTTGGAAAACAAAATTTACAGTGAAGAAAATTACTATTACTCACAGTCCTACAACCCAGAGAACTACTGTGGATACTGTGACGTAAACCCTTCAATGTTGTGTGAGTGCACATGTGAACACATAACCAAATAAATAATGGAATGGAACCCTACTGTACTCACTGTCGATTTGTCTTTGCACCCATCATCATATAGGGGGGAGGTTTCCATGCCTGAAGTACTTTTCTGTGCTATTTACAATATTGCCTAGAGCCATTATAGTCATGAATTGTTCCCAGTCCTTTAGTTTAAAAAGCTACATTGTACATCTTTACAAATAAATGTTTGTCTTTAGGACAAATTTCTGCAGTTTACTTTCCCAGTAAGCATACTTTAAAGGTTTTTGAAAAGATATTTCCCAATTATTCCTCAGAAAAACTGTCTGATTTTTGCTAGCAGTTCCACTTTTTGCTAGCAGTTCCACTTTCATGTAGTGTGTGAGCGTCTCTATTCCCAAAATGTATCTTCACCAATTTTGGGCGTTAGTTAAAAAAAACCTACCAATTCAATAGATGAGAAATTTCCATTTTTAAATTTACATTTCTTTAATTACTAGTGAGGGTGGACATTTACAAAGCACATTTATAGGTCATTTGTATTTATTTTTTAGTAAATTGCCTCCCTGTATTTCTTTGCCCATTTTTGCGGTGTTCTTAAGTATTAGCTATCTATCAGGTTAATTGCAAACATTTCCTTCCCAATTGTCCTTTAATACTGCTTATCCTGTTTCTTGACAAGAAGAATTTTAACATATTAGTCTATCACATACTTTACACTGGGCTTGTGGTTTCTTTCAGGCTTCAGAGTCATTGATGCTCTGAAGACCCAATGAATTCAGTAAAACTTAGGACTAATTATTAAGTGAATAAAGAGAAATTACTGCATTTTTGTTGCTTAGCAATTGAAAAACTCAAGCAAATTAAGGTTTTTACTGAAATTGATGCAGAAAGTAAGCCATCTGCTGAAAAGTCGCTATGAAAGGCAGGAAACAACCTGGAAAGTAATGGTGAGTTGAAAATATATTTATCAGGATTTTTCTGGTGAATTATTTTTAGGTGACAGTGCTGTGTGTTATTAACCTATACATAGATAATATATGATTTACAAATGTTTTTTGCATATGTTGTCTGAAACGTTTGTCGAAGACTATTCCCTCTGGCCCTAGCTTTCTGTAAGGCTCTGGGTTCTGTGGGCATACGTTTTTGAGGGTTGAGCTCCAGGTGTTTTCACTAGCAGTGCAGGCGGTCTCAGGCCAGGCTAACTAGTATTATGAGTGACCTGGCCTTTGTTTCCAGTTTTACTAAAAAGAAATTGTATGATATACTTACTGACCTTCAAATACTCTAAATCAGAGCCATTTCTTTTATTCTGTTTATGGACTGGAAGTGAGAGCTACCAGTATATGACATGCTATCTATTTAATGCTGGCGGCATTAACCTTGGAAGTAAATGTATTTGTTTGTGTTGGTTGTCTTTCTCATTATAATGTTAGGGGTGTAAGCTCACGCATTGTGCCTTGTTTATAAATCAGGGCTTGGAACAGTGCTTCCCACGTAGTGGTAGCCCAGCAAACATCTGTTGAGTGAGTAGATAAACTGTAAACAATAACTTTAACCTCCAGGGAACCACATCAGCTGAAAGTTGGGGAGCTAGAGCCCTCTAAGTTATATCATTGCTTCTAGATGTATTCTCAGAAATCGGTCTTGGGAAGCCTAAGCTGTCAGCTCTGGACATTGTTCTTGAGGGTTTTATGACCCCTGACTTTGTTTCTGCTTCTAATTTTTTGGTAGATCTGTATCCTTTACTGCATGTAGTGAATTTCGTAAAGCTTCCTATTTATCTTTCTCTTCTGAATTCATAGTTTTTTTTTTTAACCTTGTGGATGGCATCCAAGGGTGTGTTTATTTCCTCAGGTTGTCTTGGGGTTGAAGACTTGTCAACCTCAGATATGCTTGCTTCTTTGCTTTTAAAAAATTATAACAATTAATGGGGCCAAACTGTCATAATGGAGACCCAGGAGAGCCCATGGGATATAGTTCTAGTATGAGTTTGAAGGCCTCAGTGGTGACAGTAGCCAGGTCAGCTTTGGAGAGTGTAAGTCTGTGTCGCTGAGCCTATGCATAACCTCCATCCCTGCCACCATGGCCACTTTTTTCATGAGCTCATTGGGTGATTACAGGGGTGGCTTGGAAAAGAGGTTGACTGGTATCTGTAGAACTAGGATAAGCTAACTCTATCCACTTTAATATTAAAATCCTCTGCTGAGGTCCCCCTTTAATGAGCAGTCACATGGGATACCAATATCTTCACCTTTTTCTTTTTTCCCATTTTGAGTGGTCTATCTGCATACCTCTTCTCCAAATTTCCTTGTTACCAATTTTCCAATCATGTTCCTTCCAAGTCCCCAGCCATCCAGCCAAGCCATATGAATATATAATTGCATGTCTGGCCATTTTTCCAAGCAAAGTCCTGTCCACCAGGAGGATTCCCGTTCACCACTGTCCTTTGGAGATGTCCCAAGGAGGGCTGTAGTGCTGCAGCTGTCCACTTGGGGGCGGTGTCTGCATATTGTGCAGAACTGTCTGTGAGTCAGGCCCAGACTTCCCTTCCTCTGCCAGCCGATCCGGAGGAATCCCCACGAGGCCAGGGGAGATAAAGCAGAGCAGCAGGAGTGGGGACCGTGGGTATCTGGGCCACTTCTTTTTTTTTTTTTTTAAATTTTTTTTAAGTCTTTATTGAATTTGTTACCATATTGCTTCTGTTTTATATTTTGTTTTTTTGTCCGTGAGGCATGTGGGATCTTAGCTCCCCGACCAGGGATCGAACCCACATCCCTTGCATTGGAAGGTGAAGTTTTAACCACTGGACCGCCAGGGAAGTCCCAGGGCCACTTCTTCATGTGACTTACTTGTGCCTGCGGGCCCGCTTGGGTGTGATCATGTATACACCACCTCCATCTGACTTTGGGATGTTGCTGTGCACGCCCACATTATGGCTTGGTGGGCCGGATAAAGATAACACCATCTCATGATGGGCAGCTCAGGTCGCATGGTAGCTTGGTGGCCCATGGTCAAGCCTCTGCTAAGGCCCAACAGCAAACCAATAGCTGTTTCTCAGAAGGAAGGTAGTTAACTGTAGGGGATGACAGGGCTTTGCTCCAAAATCCTAAGAGCCTTTGCTGTGATTCACCTCTAGGGGCTGCCAAAGGCTCCGAACTGCATACTCTCTGCTGCCGATGCTTCCGGCACCATTGGATCTGCTGGATCATAAGGCCAAGGGCGGAGCAGCTTGCATAGCTGCCTGGAGCTGCAGAGCTGCAAAGCCTTCTCTTGTTCTGGGCCCCACTCAAAACCAGCAGCTTTTTGGGTCACTCAGTAAATGGGCTAGAATAACACAACCAAGTGAGGAATATGTTGCCTCCCAAATTCAAAGAAGCCCACTGAGCATTGTGCCTCTGTTTTGGTTGTAGGAGAGGCCAGATGCAGCAGTCCTTAGAAGGAATATCTTGACATGGCCCACACCACTGGATCCCTAGAAAATTCACTGAAATAGAAGGCTCCTGAATTTTTGTTAGATTTATTTCCCACCCTCTGATATGAAAATGTCTTACCGATTAGAGTGGTGGCTACTTCTCACTCACTCGGTCTCATTAGCATACTGTCATCAATGTAGTGGAGCGACGTGCAATCTTCTGGAAGGGAATGGTGATCAAGATCCCTGCAAACTAAATTGTGACATAGGTCCAGAGGGGCGGTATATCCCTGAGTTAGGACAGTGAAGGTGTATTGCTTGCCTTGCCAGCTGGAAGCAAAATGCTTCTGGTGGGCCTTATGGACAGGGATGGAGAAAAAAAAGCATTTGTCACATCAGTAGCCGCATACCAGGTACCAGGAGATGTGTTCATTTACCCTAGCAACGAAACCAAGTCTGCTGCGGCAGCTACAATTAGAGTCACCA